ATGCTGGGGATCTACAGTTGGCTGCAACCTTGGTGGGGTGTGTGTGTGTGTGTCTGAGCTGTTGCATCCTTGGTGCCATTGTGGAAGGGGGAACTTGTTCCAAATCCAGGCTCTTAAGGGAGAGCTCCCCCCCCATACAATGTCCCTCACGGTGGGGCTGCTGCCGCACGTAGAGCAGCAGGTGGCCGGCTTGGCTGTGGGTCCCCCCATTTGGCTGATCTCCAGGGAATGCCGGCATAGCTCAGCTTGCGGCCTTCTGGATGGCTGCAGTTTTTGGAATGTGGCAGGCCAAGACTGCCACTTTGCGGGGTCGCAGGTCAGTCCATTTCTAGCCCTGCAGCACTCCCCTGGCGCTGACGGGGCTCCCCCAAAGTGCCCCATAACCCTCAAGTTGCTGGTGAGAATGGCGACATGTTTCACCAGCTCCCCCTGCCCTCCCTCTCAGTCTCCATGGGGCTCGGTCCTATCCTCATGTGCCTGGTCCCTTACCACATTAACCCAGTCTGCCCCTTACTTCAGTAAGGACTATATGGAATAAAAGTTGCAGTTTTAAACTGAACCATGTTGCTTTAAATCTACCTAGCTGGTCACTAGGGGGCAAAAACTACTTGATGGCGCATAATCACAATCAGTCAATCAAAATGTTTCTTTAATTACAACCACAGATATGCAAAACAGTAGAACTAAATATACCCATAATCAACCTGTACACTGTCCGCAAACCCTGCTGGACACCCCCCAGCCCCCCCAAGCCCACAGAGAAGAAACCCATCCTTGGCCACATTCTGTCCATCTAGGGCTGAGAACCCTTTCCTTCCTCTGGGCACTCAAGCCAGCAGTCAGTGCACATCCACGTGTGCTCTTCCCAACGGGCAGGGTGGGCTGAGAGGCCCAGGAAAGGCCCCCTTTGGGGAGCAGACTTGAACTGAGGCCCTTGCCAAAGGGGGAAGACACGTGTCACCGAGGGACCAGGTAGCCCCACCCCGGTCCATGGTCCCAGAACAACAAAGGGCCACGGGCCAAAAGCATTTCAGGGTGATGCGCATATTAAGGAGCATTGTCCCCCCAAAAGTTGGTTGAATTTCCAACTGCCAATTTTTCTCCATTTGCTTGGCATTTCAACAGCCCGGGTTCAAGAGGCTTTGTGTTGCTTTTTAAATTTAGGGCTGCATTTTGTATATCGCGGTTTGCCCTCTCCAAGGTAGAACATGAACAAGTTGACCAGGCACGATTGTCTGTCCTTGCGGCCTCTTCCTAAAGACGTGGCTGCCCACAGCTGGAGTGCCTGCACACAGCAACAGCTGTCTCAGAGCTGCTTCGAGTCTCTTGTGCTGCCAGACCATTTTGAAAAGTTGCCTGTTCTCTGGCAGCCGCTAAGGCAGGAGTTGCCCGCAGGGCGAATGCTGTGCAGATCTGTCGCTGCGCTTTAGAGGTAGCTCAGGTGTTACTTGGCACAGACAGGTAAAGCATGACAACACAGCTTTAAATTAACCAGTTGACATTTCTTTCCCTGACAGACAGTCAAGACACGGCTTAAGATTTTCCCATACTTTCTGGGATGCCTCATCTTTTCTCCTGGAGCTGCACTTTTATCTTTTGCTCCCAACTGTTTTCTGTTATATTTTCTGGACTCCAGTTTGGAAGCTGGTCAGAAAGTCTTGCCAGCCCCTCTACTGCAGATCTGGCAAAAGGGATCAGGAGCCTGGCCAGGATCCCTGGAGGACAGAGGTTGGCCCCTGAGGTTGGGTTCGAGCCCTGCTGCAGAGACCTGGGGCGGGGGGGTGGCCTCTGCACCGGAAGGGGGCAGTGGTCTTCTTGAGGACTGGGAGAAGAAAGGAAGGCAGGACCGCCTGGGATTTGTGACAAACTGCCTTAATGGGTGAGGGCTGGGAGATTCAGGGCGGATCATTAAAGCATTCGCATGTCTTTGGCACTAGACGTGTCCAGTCTGGTGAGGGCACAGCTTCTCTCTCAGCTGTACTTACAAGATACTGACCACTCATTTTCTTTCTCCATTGTTAGCCTTCCCTGCCAAAGGCTTTGAAAACATTCACTTCCCTCTGGCATTTTCCTACAGGCAGATCTCCCCCTGGAGGGTCCTGCTCCTGACTGGGCTGGTCCTTGCACGCACAGTCCAGGTAAGTCCATCCGACTGAAATCCAGAAATGCTTCTGCTCTCCAGAGCTGGGTGACAAGGAGTCTCCCGCTTCCTCCGCAGATCCCCTTCATCCCCCTCCCTTCTTAAGCAGCCAGGCTTTGGGGTCAGCGGGCCACTGCCTCTCACCACCGTTTCCAACAATGGCAAGGAGAGTGTCCGGTTCCTGGAGGCCATTTCACATCGTTAAGGCATCGCAGGGCCGGGTTTCTGCTTGACGGGCCCTGAGCTTCCTCGTAGAAAGCGCGTTGGATGCTCTCATCGGAGATCACCAGTGCTTTCTTCGTCTGGATTGGCCACCAGAAGACGAGCGACTAGAGCAGGACTGAATGGAACCAAAGGGAGCGGGTGGAGGAATGGCGTGCAGGAGCAAGCTAGGAATGCTGAGCACAAGGGAGAGTAAGGAGAAGGAGGTTGGGTGAGCAAGGGCAGGGCATTCTCAGATTTTCATTAGTCGGGCAGCTGTGGTGCTGTGCTTTGGGGCTGGAGGCTGGGCTGGAGCATGGCTTGGGATCCAAGCAGAACTTTAGTCCTGGTCAGGTGGTGAAGAAGACTCAGCTGCCAGCCTGGCCCCAAGGAGTGGATGAGAGCGTCCGGGAGAGGGGCAGCCCTGGGTCCTGCTGGGGAGCCATGATGACTTCAAAGATCTGGGGAAACCAGGCTTGGGAAGCACCAGCTAAGGTGGGCCTGCTGGGTCTGAGGCACTGGAGGGAGAGAATAGGAAGGCAGGATGGGGAACTAGCCTTCCTTGAACCTGGTGAGAGCAAGGGAGGTGAGTTCTCCAGAAAAGTTTTATTAAAAAGGAAAAGAGGAGTGAGGAGTGAGAGTGAGTAGTTGTTGAGTGGAGAAGAGCTGATCACAGTGGCATATGGCAAGATTACCAGCTCATTGGAGGTTTGGGTCAGGAAGCCTGTGTGAATATGGAGTTGATGTGGTTAGTGGGAATCTAGAAGATGATGCCTGAAAATATTTCTGCTGGTGAGGAAGAAGCCTATCCTCAGGTTTGGGGTATGACAGTGAGATTGCAGAGGTGAGAGATGGATGATGCTGGATGGCCCATTCCAGCGGAAGGGTGACCTACAGTCTGCTACCAGTAGCCACTTCCACTCAGTAGCTTTGCTCTGAGGGGCAGGAACTGGTTGGCTGGAGGCCATGGTCTCCAGTTGCTGCTGGTAAATGTCAGTTCCATGTGTAATAAGACCTCATTCTTCCATAACCTGGTGTGTATTACCAAAACATGGCTTGGACAAGGGCACCAATATCACCCTGTCTGAGATCTGACCTCCCAGGTTTCAGGGCCCACACCAAACTCAATTTCAAGGCAGGAGTGGTGGTGATTTTCAACATTTGGTGGCATCCAGAAGACTCTTCTCCTTGAGACTGTGAACTGGGCATACCTTGATGTGACAGTTGGCAGTAGGGACAATCTAGAGATTCTGCTCAGGTACCACCCACCTTGCTTCACAACAGTCTTTTCCTGGCCTGCTGGAGCTCATCATGGGGCTGGTATTGGCATCTCCCTGGTTTGTAGTGCTAGGAGACATCAGCTTGCAGGCCTTGAGATAAGGTGCCAGGAAAGTCCTGGAATTCATGGCTTCTCTGGCAACCATGGGCTTGACCCAGGTTACTTCGAGTCCAAAGTCGGTAAGTGGCAACCCGCTAGGTCTAGTCTTCCCTTCAGAACTGCTGCTATGTAACCTGATCATTACATCCTCCAATTCCAGATTACATCACAGGATTCTGTTCCATCATCCCCAAAGATCCTATCCATGCAAAATCAAGATACGAGCAAACTGTTGCCCAAACTCTCGTAGCAGCCTGTGGGCAGATCTTACTGAGCCTCAGTTCACCAAAGGGATGCCCACCCTAAGCCAGCTTAACAAACAGACTCATGGGTGGAGAAATAGGAAAGATTTTTTTTTAATTTTTTATTTTTTACAACAAACACAAACATACATAAACAAACAAGAGGATAAAAAACATAAAAACCATCTTCCATCTTAAACCGTGTGTCAGCCAGTTACCAATCATTT